TTCCGGATTGCCGTACAGATCTTGTAAGTAGTTACGCCTTCGTTTGTATGGAGGACTCGTACACTTTTTCAGGCCAAAGATTCAAGGACTTTTCAAGGACTTTCCAGGACCCTACTTAGAAATTTCAAGGACTTTTTGTAATGACAATTTTACCTCAAAACCAAGAAAAATGTTTCTGTTAACATCTATGTTTTGGGTTTACCGATGGTGCAAACAAAAGCAGATATTTTTCGATGTTGTTCAATAAAAAATCAAGGACTTTCAAGGACCCAAAACGAAATTTAAGTACTTTGGCAAGAGTACCATTTAACCCCAACATTAATTATGTATTCAGACTCGGAGACTTTGTTTTGAAAGTTTTGTCGTGAAGACAAAGAAGTGGAATGCATAATTAATGTATGGGGTTAGATGGTACTCTTTCCGTTCGTATTTTCCTGTGTTTTTTCGTACAAATTTCGTTGTATTTCAGTTTCCTTGGGTTTAAGTTCGCATTGTTCATTCTGTATTTTTTCTGTGTTGTATACAAGTGAATCGTCGAGATTAAAAGGAACGCATTCAAACTGTGGCGGAGTGTCAGTTACACAAAGACAACAAAACATTATAAACAATAGCGTGAAGCAAAACTATGGAGCCCGCAAAGGGCCATTGTCAAACATAATTATTTGACGAGTTATTTGACGAGTTATGTGACGAGTTACGTGAGGAGTTATTTGACGAGTTATTTGACGAGTTATGTGAAGATGTTACTAAAACTAGTAACTGGGAACGTGGAACGTGGAACGGGAAACGGGGAACGAGGAACGAGGAACGGGGAACGGAAACGGGTGTACAGCGGTAACCCGCCTGAGAATTCAAAATGGTGGAGTAAAGGGAACTAAAAGGGTCTGGCAACTAGTTTTGAGCACTTGTTCCTCGAACGCGATCGTCGGAGCAAAAAGCACGGACGGTAAGTACGTATTGTACGAGCGGACTGCGGTACAGAAAACAGTCATGTTGCTGCAATTCAACTTTTCTTTCGAAACAATCCAGATGACTCATTTCGTACAGAGAAGAGTTTTATTTATGGCCGGTCTGTATCCAATCAAAGGATAGAAGCTTGGTGGTTGTGATTGTGATTCTAATGTGGTCCATGTGGAATGTTTGAGGTTTTGCTACATGGAAATATCAAGGGATGAACTGTACAGAGCTGCAAGGCTTTGGAACAATCACAGAATTAGACCATCAGTTAACCACGAGTCCCCTGGAGGACGTCCGGATCTTCTATTTTCACTTCCAGAGGTATCAGGTACAAGGGAGTTTATGATTGAAGTGGACAAGGTTGAGTANTAGTATTTCTGCGTGGTTGTATCCAATTTTAAAGTATTGCTCAATTAATTCATCACGAAAGTTCAAGGCCAAACGCGCCGCCATATTTGCCCCGTCTACACAAACATAACCCAGGCTCTTGCTTTACAACAACTCGTCACATAACTCGTCAAATAACTCGTCAAATAACTCGTCACGTAACTCGTCACGTAACTCGTCACGTAACTCGTCAAATAACTCGTCAAATAACTCGTCACGTAACTCGTCAAATAACTCGTCAAATAACTCGTCAAATAACCCGTCAAATAACTCGTCACGTAACTTGTCACATAACTCGTCAAATAACTCGTCAAATAATTATGTTTGATGATAGCCCTTTGCGGGCTTTATACAAAACAACGCCTCGGGAAACAAAGAAAACCTCGTCAGGTTTTTACACCGAGGATAACCCTGAATTGATCCCTTAAAGACAAAATGAAACGGGTGAAAACAACAATAAACTAAAAGACCGTGTACTTACATATCTATCCCACGCTGTAAAAACCTCTAAAACTGAATCGCTAGACCTCTAACGACGATAAACTGCCTTGTAGTACTGTGCAAGCGAAAATACAATCCTTCTGAGAGTGATTACAAACGTGAACTAGCCCGAGAGCCTTTGCGCAACGAAAAGAATGAAATAAAGGTAACCAGTAGGAAATTCGAAATAAAGCTCAAACTAAACAAAAACAAAAAAAACAGAAAGCATAACACGGAAGGTTTAGAAACGCACGTTAAGAGGAGATATTTACGAAAAATCTCACAAGTTGGAGTCGACCATGCTAATATCCCCAGCGATCAGTTCGATCCAGAATGCTTGCCCGGCATCTGTCGAGGCTACAGATTTGGTTGGCAAACTAGTTTTGGAAACTAGTTACTACACTAAGCAGCAGTTTAAATGCCACAAAAGCTTGGAGGCTTACAACCAGATGGTCAGCGGATTTGTTACAGACCAATGCTAGTGACTGCGGTTTGTTCAGTTGCGATTGCTTTTACAACATGTCTTGCATTTGGTCAAAATCCTGCTCATATGACATTTGATGTACCTAAAATGCGGCCACATCTGGCAACATGGCTCAAACACAAAAACATTTCTTTGTTTCCACACTTCTAGGTAATACCAGAGTTTTGGAGACTCCTGATAATGTCCATCCAACCACCACCCCTCTTACAGAGTTTATATGAAAAATTGTAACCGCTACCCCCACGCTCCTAGAATTCCAATCCCTTCCATGAGTCCATGAGGGGAGGGAGGGATTTATGGATATTATCTTCTGGAACCACACATATCATTTTCTTTGTAAAAGTCTGATGCACGCTAGTGGCATAGCAACATAGCATACCCCTCCGTTGTTTTTTCCTTGTGTCAGTCAGAAAGTAAATGTCTAGTGTGCGTCAGACACTTCATCTGATCAGAGCTAAATGCAGGCATTTCATAAAAGATTTTCCTCAATGTTACTGAAAAATAAAAATATACTGTTTTTCATAATCCCTCTCAGTTGAGAACTCAATCACCAACTGATAACCTTTTCTGAAATAGCTGTATGTC